ACATAAACACATTGTAGTATATTCATAGACTAGAATACTGTTTCTGCTTGTAAAGGATGAACTACTGGTACCTGCAACATGTATGACTCTTAAGGCACATTTTGAGCAAAGGAAGTAGGACACACAAGAATGCATGTAAGAAGTACCTACTGTATAAACTATATGAGTTGCAAGAACAGGCAAAACCAGTCTATGGTGATAGATGTTAGAAGGTGATTAACTTGGGGTGGGAGACAAAGAATCACTAGAAAAGGGCGATAGAAATATTCTGCATCTTGTTTGAAGGGCTACATTAATACTTTTATTGTGCGTAACTTGTAGTTTACAAATGTTGCCCTTCCTCCAACACAAACCAACCTCTAAAAGGGTGGGGGAAATGATTGAGCTTTCTCTCTCCAGCACGTACAGCTGAGTGATTGCAAGGCACTGTGTCAGGACAGACAAGAAGTGGGATTGTGGCATATGACATTCAGGAGCTTATATGCCACAATCCTCAGATGTTAGTGTCATTGGTGCTCACAGAAGAGAGAAGTGAGTGAGGACTGGAGTTGTCAGGAAGGTTTCTGGAACAGGGCAGGACTTGGGTTCAGCCTGGAAAGCTGGATGGAGTTTGGTGAAAAGTTGGAGATTACCGTAGAGATGCCATAGGAGCTCTGTGGCTTTCTAGAAATGTAGGAGGGTATACACTGAAAAGTAAGTCTTCCACCTCCTTGACTCCATTCTCTGAACCCCTCCCACATTCCAGCTGTGCTTTCTGATTCTTGCGTGAACCTACAGAAATAATCAGTGCATGTACACACTGTTTTGTATTGTTCCCTTTTTGCCTCATAATTGAGATGAATCTATTCCTTATCTGCACAAAAAGATAACCATTTTTTTCTATGACAACATTGTATTCCAGTGTATGGATATAACAGGGTTTTTAATCATCTCCCTATTAATGGGCATTGTGGTTGTTTCTAATTTTTGTTAACATGACATTGCTCAAATGAACATCCTTGTGCATAATCCTTGTGTACTTTTGCAAATATCCCTGTAGAATAGGTTCCTTAAAGTTGTTGCTTAAAGGTTATGTACTTTGAAATTTGACTCACAAAAAAGCTGTTTATATACACTTTTACCAAAATGTAAAAAGGTTGCTGTTTACCCAAAGTCCCATCAATATTGGATACTATCACTCATTTAAAATTTTATCCAACTAAGTTTTGACAAATTTCTTGTTTAAATCTGTAGTTCTTTGATTACCATTGAGGTTATCATTTGGTATGTTTGTTAGCTGTTTCCATTTCTTCTTCTGTGAATTTTCTATTTTTCTGTAGCTTGTTCATCTTCTTTTGTATGTGTTCTTCCTATAATATTTTAATGGTGTTAACCTCTTTTATATCATATGTTGCATGTATTTTTCAAGTCCGTCATTTGTTGTTTTAACATCATAGTATTTTTCACTGTGCAGTCATTCCCAAAGTCTCATATAGTTAATTTGTTCATATTTTTATCAATAGTTTCTGAGATTTGTGTCTTGCTTAGGAAGGCCCTTCCCCTCCCTGAAGATAGCAAAATAGCCTATACTTTCTTCTAGTGTTTTTATTCTTTCCTTTACATACAGACACACCCAGCCACCCCCCATTTAGACCCTTAATCATCTGGAAATTGGTTTTTGTCTGGTAAGATACATGGTCTAATTTTTTTTTCTAAAAATAGGTTCCTTATTGTGTGGACATCATTGGTTGACTAGCCTCCGATATAAAATGCTATTTTTATCGTAACTCTGTGCTCATATATGTATGGGTTTGATTTTGAACCGTTATTTCTGTTTCATTGATTTCTTTGTCTTAGTGCCTCTCTCAGAACCCCATTATCTTAATTCCTGTTGCTCTGTTATATATTTTCTTGTCTGTTAATGCATTTCTCTTGGCATTATTTTTTTGGGGAATTTTAGTGGCTGTTCTCATGCCATTGTTCTTCCAGGTGAACTTAGGGTCTACTTAAAGTTTCAGACACATGTAGCATATCCCTTTGGAATTTTGATTGGTTTTGCGTTGGACTTAAAGGTTTTTAAGGTGACAATTTGACACCATTGTAATTTTGAGTCTTAGATCCATCTGTCTATCTAGTCTATGGTTTGAGTCTTCTCACTTTTAGCTCCCAGATATCTCTTTGGTCTTTGCCTTTCTTTCATGCCATTCCCTCCTGTGCACTGGGCTTCTGAAGTAGCCCATTAGGTGGTCTCCTTGTGACTGCTGTGGGCCCCTCCGCTCTCTCCTGCACCTTTGCATAGGCTGTTCCAGGGCTTAGACTACTCCCCGGCTGGCCCCTCCTCACTCAGTTAATTTATCCTCATCTCAGTTGTCATTTCCTCAAGGAAACCTCCCTGACCTTCTTAACTGGGTGAAACTCCCTATTTACAGTTTCATGGTACCCTTTGTACTCTTCTGAGTGCTCTAACTGTAAGTTTACCTTTGCTATGTCCTTGGAAGGTGAGGTAAGCTTTCTAGGCACGGGAGGTCTCTAAGCGTAGGGGGGCTCCCTGGGCACAAGGGCTGTGTTTGGTGTCGCTCACTTTTGTAATCCCCCCACCTCTAGCCTAGTGCCTGGCCCAGAGGATGTACTTTTTAAATCCTTGTTGATGTCAGTGAGCTTGGTGTTTCCCTCTATTTACGTATGTCTTTAAGTGAAGCCTTAATAGTTTTCTTCGTGCGGTGTTGTACAGTTCTTGTTAAGCTTTTGCCTGTAACATTTTCTACTTGTTTTTGTGCTGGTAGAGAAAGCTATTGATTTGTGATGTTCTTGCATCCGGCCATCTTGTTTAACCGGGAACTCTGTTTCCTGCTGGTCTCTCCATTCTGCATCCCTCTTCATCCTCAGGCTGGTTGGGCGCCAGATGGTTGCAGCAGTCCTGAGCCCCACATCTGACCCTGGCAGTTTTTGGAGGAAGAGAGAGTTGCCTCTGGGAGCTTTCCCAAGAGTGAGGGGGAGCTTTCTGAGAAGCTCCCAGTGAATGAATTTGTGCTCAGTGGCTGGAGTAGGGTCCAAGGCCCATTGCGGACCCATTGGTGAGGGTGTGGCCAACTCAACAGAGCTCCGTCTCCGTGACCTGTGGAGTGAGGGGCTGACTCCCTGCCCCGACGGCTGCTGGGGTGAGGTGTGCAGGAATTGTGCCAGAAAGGTGGCAGGGGCTAGTGGGCCCCGGGTGGGAGTCTGTGTGGACATCTGTCAGTATGATCGTGTGGCTTTTCCCCATCAGCCTCCCTCAGCACATCGATAAAGCTGTAGGAGTTCCCGATGTTGAACCATCCCTTCAGTCTTGAAGTACATGCTACTTGTGTGCATTGTTCTTTGAATATCCTGCTGCGTTTGCATCTACTAAGATTTTTCTCATAATCCTTTTGTCTGTATTCCGAAATGAGATTTGTCTGTGTTGCAAAAAGTCTTTTTAAGAGTAGGAGTTAATATAGTGCAAAGACCCTGGTATTGAACATTGCTTAGTTCCTCTGTGACCTTGGTCAAGTCACTTAACCTTTCGGGGGCAATTTCTTGTGTATACAGTAGTGATCATAGCCCTAAATACCTCAAGCTGCGTTGAGGATCAAATAAGATAATATATATGAAAGCTCTCTTTAAACACTAAACTTAAACAAAGTTAGAACTTTGTCTCACCACATATATTCAAGATTTTTTAATTTTTGTGAGTTTCTTCTGATGAGGAGATAGGTTCAGAGAACATTAACAACCAAGTTCTCTCAGCATTTTTCATAAACCTCAATCAGAAAACCAGAGTTATGCAGAGGAGAGGCACTGGGAACATGATTGGTAAACATTACATTATTGGTGTTCAGATATGAGGTTCCTGCTTTTCATAATATCCTTAGGGTACTGGGGAAGATTTGATATTTTCTGAGATTGCTGTAAAATGCAAGTTATTGCTGGGTACCATCGCCCAATTATTCTGTACTTATTTTACTTAGACTTTAGTAATTGGAAAAAGATTAGATGTCAGGACTTCGTATTTTGTTGATTATATTAGCAAAGTCTTCTCTTTAATCATTTCTTTTATTCCTAGTATTAATCATTAGCTTCGAGCTGTTAGGAGAAGAGCCTAATGGTGGATTCCTAACTTAGAGGAAAGAAATAATTACTTCAGTTTCGGTGGGGTTGGGCAAGTGTTGATATACCTACAAATTGAAATGAATTCTCTAGCCGTTCGAGGCATGGTCAAGGAGACACAGCAGGTCAGACAGAATCAAGGCCCAGCGTCCCCACCCTCTGTGCTTGCTGGGCCCACGCCTGCCCCGAGGAGGCTCTGGACCCCTCTGGCCCCCCTGCCCTGGCCAGCTGACTCTTCCTACCTGCAGGCTTAGTGAATGCATCCTCCACTTGTGTCAGTCTACCCTGAAGACTTTGTTGACCTTGGTGTGTATAATATGGCTACATCCTTAATTAATGTTGTATAAAGACAAACTTATCTCTGTGAAACAATTTCTTTCAAAACCAATGCTGAGAAAACCACCTCACATAGGTATTCTTAAATAACCAATGGTGAGAGTGAGACAGGAATAAAGGGAGGGAGGGAGGGAGGGAAGGAAGAGAAGGAAGGGAGGAGGACCAATTAAAGCGGCCAGTTTGGGGAAAAAGCTCCCAGGAGGGGAGCAGGGGAAGGGAGAGAGGGAGAACCAGAGAGGCGAGGTGGAGGGAAGGAGGCTGGACCTCACCGCCTGAGGGAGGAAGGGGTCATGGTGCCTCACCTGTCTCAGGGTGGCTCCAGGGACATGGGAGTACTCTCTAAGATTTCAGTGTAAACAGGTAACCTTTTGCTTGGTTGGAATAGCGTGGTAACTTCCCTTCTGTCATACATCAAGAACAATCAGTATCTGAAATTTTTGTCATTTAGGTTTATTCTAGTTTTCATTTATGGGGCTTATTGCCCTGTAATAAAACTGGTGGAATATGTTGAGGCACTGGGGAAGTCTGCTGACCTTTTTTTTTTTTTTTTTTGTCAACAGAGGAATTGAGGAAGCTGAGCTGGTCTGGGATCCCTAAGCCAGTGCGTCCAATCACGTGGAAGCTTCTCTCGGTGAGTCTCCTGTCACTCATCCGTGTGGTCTTCTTTCTCCCATCAGCCACAGCCCAGACATTTGCCCTGGCTCTGCTGCCTGGTGACACAGGGCTTTCCCCTGGCTACGGTGACATTTCCTATTCTTCGCTTAATTTCAAGCTTGGTTGAACAAGACCGTCAGAAAATGAGGGCAAATGGTCATTATGACATCTGTATTCTTTTTCTCTGATTTTAAGATTTTTTTGTTCTAACCTGTGATATAAGAAAGGTTCCAGCATAGAAGATTATTTCAACTCTGAGGAGCTGAAACAGGGAAATGCATTTTAGGTATGTTTCAGATACATTGAAATGTGTTGAAAACAAGGAAATGTGTTTGACCAGGTTTTTTTTTTTTCCCCCAAGTATTAGTAATGATATTAGCTAAGAAAAAAATTGATGTTAGAAATAGTTTGTGTTTCTGTGATGGGGAGTGGGGTTGTGGCTCCCCAGCCGCCTGTCTGACCCCCGCTGAGAGCACCGGGCTGGGCAGTGGTGGTCTGGCTTAACGCTGGAAATGCGGTTGGCCCTGCCGCACATTTCGGGATGGTTTGTACCCAGCCTCCTTCTCTTTTCCTGTTTTATTGTTTTTGGAGCCAGGTCATTAGGGAATTCTAAGTGTTTAGTCTAAATTGGGTCTGACTTTCAGTATTTAAAAGACTCTTTCTTGCTAATGAGTCTTAATAAATTTGCAGCTTAGTACCTCGTGATCCTAAATGCAGATGCAGCTCCGAACAGTGAATATTTATCGATTAAATATTCTCTTGCAATTAAAATTAGACCTGCTGCGATTCCTGATGTGTTTTTGTTTTGTGTTTTTTATTTTAATCCAGTTTTCCAGTTTATATCCAGTTTTCAAATGTCCTCTAAGTTTTGATGAAAATACCTTGAAGATCCTTTATAGCAATCTTATGTTTATTAAGGATGTGCCATGTCTGGCTGGAAAACCTTGTGGGGGAGTTATTTGGTACTGTTCTTTTTCCTCTAGTTCGAGTCTCTGCAGGTCATGGTTTCCATGCCCTAACGTGTGCTACACGGTGGTTGACGTGGACAGAGGAGCAGAGCGGGAGATGCCGATGGTCCCACTCTGCTGGTTGTGCACAGCAGGGCTGGTGCCAGGAATGCTGGCCATGCAAGTGAGAGAAAGCATCAGGCGTATTTATTCATTTAACCATTGTGAATTACAGGGGCCTTTGCTCAGAAGTCAGGTGAGTTAGACACTAGCCTGCCGTTAGGAGGAGGTCCGGGCACAGACTCTCAGTGGGATGATGACAGCACCATCTGGGACTGTGTACTGTGGGATGACGGGACACAGGTGTGAACCAAGCTGAGGAGGGTACAGCGGCGGGGGAGGCAGTTTGGTGCTGAGGGTCAGCTTCCTAGGAGAGGAGACTTCTCACCTGGAGTCTGCCAGGCCAAGGGTGGGGGGACGGGGGAGAAAGGGGAGGGGACGGAGGACTTGCAGTCACAAGGGACAGAGATGAACATGGTAGTTCTTGGCCCTATTTTGGGCTTGGGTTGGCAGATAAGTAAAAATTAAAAGTCCAGTCAATGAGCAAAGCCCGTCCTTCCAAACGGGGGTGTGCCCAGAAAGGGAAGGGTGATTCTAGGGGACAGCAAACTCATGAGGATGCCAGCAAGGCTCCTTGGGGAAGGTAGTGTCTTATGTGGCATCTTGAAAGGCGTGCCATTGCTCTCTGGGTGAGGGAGATGGGAGGTCACAAGAGCCAGGGGATGCAGCAGGGGTGGGGCAAGCAGAGAGAGAGCTGGGTGAGCAGGCAGACAGCGTGGGGAAGGGGTCCCAGGGATCATGGGGACCAGGAGGAGGCCAGGTGCATACCCCCCCACCGCCCATTGCTTGGCTTTTGTCCTGAGGACTTTAGCAGGGAGTTATGAGGCTGTGTTTTCTGGAAAAGTAAAGCCTTAAAAAATCTGTTGGTTGGTTAACCCTTTATTACTGAGCACTTTGTGTGTTTCAGGCACTGTGTTGGGTCCTGGGAAATAGCAGGGAGAGGAAAAGACCAAGCCATCCCCCAGGTCCTGCAGAACAGACCGTAGAGTGCCTGCCTTTCTTTGTCCCCCTCCCAGTACAGACCTAGGGTCTTCCTGCAGGCAGACGGCGCCACTCCCTCAGATCTTGTTCCCGTGCCCCAGTGCACTGCTGCCCCGTCTGTCCTCGTTCAGTGCTGACTGGTGCCAGACTGCGCGCACTCAAGAGAGTCCGTTCTGTGGGAGCAGAGTGTGTTCCGAAGTAATTTTTCTTTTTTTTTTGAGACAGAGTCTCACTCTGTTGCCCAGGCTAGAGTGCCGTGGCGTCATCTTAGCTCACAGCAACCTCAAACTCCTGGGCTCAGGCGATCCTCCTGCCTCAGCCTCCCGAGTAGCTGGGACTACAGGCATGTGCCACCATGCCCGGCTAGTTTTTCCTATATATTTTTAGCTGTCCAATTAATTTCTTTCTATTTTTAGTAGAGACGGGGTCTCGCTCTTGCTCAGGCTGATCTCGAACTCCTGAGCTCAATCCGCCCGCCTCGGCCTCCCAGAGAGCTAGGATTACAGGTGTGAGCCACTGTGCCCACCACTGAAGTAGTTCTTAACCAGTGTCTAGCATGGAGAAGGAGCGGTGCTGGGGGTGAGGTGAGGCTGCTTCCGACTGGCTCTGGGAGGGGACTAGACTTGGGGCACAGGGCACTGGGAAGGAGCAGGGAAGGGGTCAAGGGGCCAAAGGGACTCTGGCAGCTGGAATGGGAAGCCCAGCTTTGTTCTCTTACAGGGAACAAATGCTCACTGTGCCTTTGCCCCGCTCCGTGCCCTGAGCTGAGCAATGTTGTCATCTGTCCTGCCTAGGGAGTGCTGCTGCGCTGTGGCTCTGGGCTCTGTGGCGGGAAGGGACCCGCCTGGTTGAGGGGTGCTGGTCAGACATGGGAGTGGACAGGTGGAAGGTGGTCAGAGTTGTTGGCCGTCATCTTTTCATCTTCCAGTTGGTGACCCAAGAGCTTGCTCATGAATCTCCTTCCTCGTCTAGTGGTTATTCGCAGGCACAGGCAGCGGCAAATGTTCTGTAATGTCAGAGATTTGGGGAGCATAGTAAACGATGCTTGTCACCTGTCCCTGATTCAGCAAGTGCTTCTCAGTACCTCGTGATCCTAAATGTAGATGCAGCTCCGAACAGTGAATATTTATCGATTAAATATTCTCTTGCAATTAAAATTAGACCTGCTGCAATTCCTTGTGTTTTTGTTTTGTGTTTTTTATTTTAATACAATTTTCCAGTTTATATCCAGTTTTCAAATGTCCTCTAAGTTTCAAATGTCCTCTACATCTGCCCTTGGCTAGGCCCTTTGCAAGTGCTGGGGTCACAAGGATATTTGGGAGAATGGTGGGGGAAACCCAGCAAGCAATTCAGGGCGTGGGAGTGCAGGGAGGGGTCTGCCCAGTCAGGGCTGCCTCTTAGTCGTTCTCTGGATCCTGGAGTTTCAGCCTGGCCTTCCATTTGATTCCCCTGGGAGCCTTTGCAGATCCACATGCCTGGGCCCAGGAAGCAAATTGGAATCTCTGGAGTGAACTCAGCCATCAGGGTGTGTAGTAACTCCAGCGTGCTACTGGGCGTCCCCCCGCCCAGCCAACTGCAGGAACACTTACCCTGCAGTTGGCTGGGTGCGGGGATGCAAGGACGTGGGACGTTCAGGCCTGCCCTCTCAACGTGTGCTTTTCCTCTGTGGTTGCATGTTAGCATCACCTGCGGAGCTCAGGAAATACTGTTACCTGGGTTCCTGGGGGTTCTCATGGGTGCCAGGGTTGGAGACCACTGCTCTAGGGCACTTAGGCTCCACATGGGACAGGGCAGGGCACTCATGAGCCAGCTGGGAAGCAGGGCCCTGAAAGCCATGTGGCTGTGCCTGCACGGGCAGTGAGGCCACACTGAAGGCAGCACACACCTGGGCTGGGGTGCCTGGATAGGAGAGCTGGGCTGGGGTGTGGGAGGGGACGTGCTGGATGAGGGAGGCTAAGGAAGACTCGCTGAGAGCCACGAGCATGTTGTCCAGGAGGCTTAGGTGGATGGGGTAAGAGGGGAGTGGCTTATCCTAGTCCCTGAGTCCTTCCAGGACCAAGACTTTGAGTTACACGCAGAATCAAGAAGAATTCATCAGTTGGCCAGTTTGACCAGTTTAAAAAGACAATAACCAAGGCTGTACTTGCATATGAATCTATTCCAAGCTCTGGCAAACTAATGACACTTTTTCAGTGTGTTTATATGTCAGTAACGTGAACCTTGTGGTTATCGAAGAGCGTTATTTTTAATTGGTGGATAGGAAACGCTACTTCAGTGAAGACAGATGAGAAACATGGCTCTTGTCACTTGTGAAGAACTAACATACTCTAGTCTAGAGCATAGCCTTAAACCACCAGTTATGCTACTTAACATTTAAATTTATGCAAGTAGCTTAGTAACTTTTAAAAAATTAGTACTGTAGAGAATCATCTTTTTGGTTATTTAGAGATGGAGTCTCACTCCGTTGTCCAGGCTATAGTGCAGTGGTGTGATCATAGCTCACTGCAACCTCAAACTTCTAGGCTCAAGGCATCCTTGCACCTCAGCTTTCCCCGTAGCTAGGACTACAGGTGTGTGCCACCATGCCCAGCTAATTTTTTAAAATTTTTTTGTAGAGATGGGATCTCACGATACTGCCCAGGCTGGTCTCAAACTCCTGGCCTCAGGTGATCCTTCTGCCTCAGCCTCCCAAAGTTCTGGGATTATAGGTGAGAGCCACTGCACCTGGCCTGGCTCTTTTCTTAATAGCTATTTCAGAAACATCGAGCAAAAACTAATTAAACATTTAACATTTACATTAGTGAGTATAATGGCTAAAAATGATAAGTGAAACTCCAGTATCATCTTTTATTCTTGCAATATATTGAGGTGGGTTTGCATATGAACATAGTGGGAGGGAACAATTTGATTTTTGTGTCACCAGGACAATTCAGATATAAGTATATGCATGCATTGTTTTACATTTATGATTAGTGTTTTTATAGCATGCTAATACAGCAATTAAGTTTTCTGTAGTTCTGTCATTTAAAATTCATTGCATATTTGAATATATTTAATTTGCATAATTTCTAGTCTTGCTTAATTATTGAAAGGCCTTAACTTGCATATGTGTGTTTTCCTTTAGGAATGGGAGTGTCATGGGTATGTGTGGGGGTTTTATTGCCTGTGCTCTGATGACGTACCTGCCTTTTAGAATTTGTGTTTCAATAAGTTAAGTTAAAATTTGGGGAATAGGAAACGTCTCTAAGAGTTTTTGTTCACATTCGCTGCATGCAGTTGGTGTCAGGCTGCCCATCACTCCCTGGTTGGCCACCGTTGGTGGCCCTGCTGCCTTGCACTGAAGGCTGGGCCCCTGGCTGGGCACATAGGGCCTTCTCTCCCGGCTACTGCCTCAGTTCCATGCTTAGCATCAGCCAGGCTTTGTTTAGGGCCTTGTCCTGAGCTGGCCTGGGCCTGTTGCCCTGTGCTCTCCATGTTCTCCACCTTCGTCCTCTCCACCATCCTAACAAAGCACACCCAGATGAGTATGCTCATTCATGTTGTCCCAAGATAGCTCAGGCATCTCTGGTAGCACCTCTGATAGCTCAGGCATCCGTAAATAGCAATGAGGACGGCTGCGTGTGGTTGCTGGGATTAAAGGCAGCACTGTGTGTAGCACAGTGCTGGTGAGGACCTGTCCCTTCCTTTAGTTAACCCGTGGATATGGCAAGTTTGAGACAAAGAAAAAGAAGTAATCTTATGTAATTGTTATTCCCCAAGAGACGAGGTAGACTTGAAATAGCAGCCAGGCGAAAGCAGGTCTGGATGGAGCCGGTGCAGCTGAGGTGGATTGTCTCTGAAGCCGTCTGACTCCGTGAAGAAGCCACTTTCACTCGAGTCCGAGCAGCACCCCCTCCCCCTGTCATTCTGTCTTCCCACACCGAGGGGCAGGGCTGGTTTCCTGACAGAAAGAGCCACGTGTTGGGTGACCCACTGGTATACTCCACGTGGTTCTCGTTAAAGAGGGCTAGTCGTAGAGGATTTATTAGATGACACATGGAAGGCACCTAGAACCGTGCCCAGTGCTTCAGTGTTCACTTAGGGGCTGGTTATTTGGTTGCCATTCTAATTATTTTGTGAAGCAATATTGATATGCTCTCATTTTATCGGAAGCGAGAGGCTGGGTGGGAACAATAGCCACACCTTTCCTCAGTAATGAGGAATCCAAAAATCTGGCTGTGATGTTTACTTTGTCAGCCACGTGGTTCTGTTCCTCTCTCCAACACCGTGTCCTTCACCGGGTGCTCTCCATGAGGGTTCTTCCCCCGCGCCTGCTCGCCGTTGGGGAAGGTGGACAGGCTGCCGGGGATGTGACTTGCGGCTGCTCTTGGCAGAGCCACTTGGGAATAACGCACCAGAACCGTGAAGATGTCCGGTACCCTTTGAGCCGACGGTTCACCATAGGAGTTTTACTTCAGGGAATTTATTCTTCAGTTTATTCTTCAGGGAATAGTCAGACATTGTTTGCTGACAGGCACTTTAGAATACCGGACAATTAGACATAGTCAAAATGCTCAGAAATCGGGGAAAGGTTTAATATAAATACATATGACGGAAGCATTCTTAGCTTTCAGGATGAATGTGTTAGAGCAGGGCTTGGCATACTTTTTCTGTAAAGGTCTAGAAAGATAATAAATATTTTCGCCTGTGGGTCAGATGGTCTCTTTAGTAACGATGCAACTCTGTTACTGTAACACAAAAGCAGCCATACACGGCACATAAACATAAACAAACAGGCGTCTCTGTGTTCCAGCTAAATTTTATTTACAAGAAATAGATGGTGGGCTGTAGTTTGCTGACCCCTGTTGGAGAATAATACTTAATGAGAATATGGCCATGATTTTAATGTGAAATATGGAAGCATGGACTGTTGGATAAAGGAAAGTTTCCTGAAAAGGACTAATCAAAAGATTAATCCATTGGGCTGCATTAAAGTTAGGGGCGCCTCTTCGTCACAAGACATCCTTACGAGGACGAAGGGCAGGTCACAGGGAGGAGGTTATTGACCAGGGGCTCACGCACAGACTGTGTGACGAACGCCTGTGAATCAGTGAAGAGGAGCCGGGGACGGATTACACTTGCACATCCACTTTGCAGACGCAGACACCCAACTTCTTTATTAAAAAAGAAATTCAGACGGTGTGATCCAAATGTGTTAGATGTGTGTGAGTGTAATTTACACTGCAGAATAGGTGCCGCTGGACATGGCTTAAGGAGGGTAAGAGGAACGTGTGTGCTCACCCCACTGCCATGACAGGTTCGGAAGATTCACAACACTAAGTGTTGAAGCGGGTGTGGAACACCGGGAATGCTCATGCATCGTTGGCTGGAATGTAGACCGCCGTCATCTCTCTTTGGGAAAAGATCTGGCAGTTTCTTAGAAAGCTAAACATACACTTACATTATGACCCAGTAACTCTACTCCTAGGTATTTAACTGTGAGAAATCAAAGCGTTATGTCCACAGAAATCTTGTGCATGAATATCTGTAACAAGCTTCATTCATAGTGTCCCCAAACTGGAAACAACCCAAATGTTCGTCAGCAAGTGGATGGCTTATCAAACTGGTACGTCCATACAGTAGACTACCACTGGGCAAGGGAAGGAAATAACTGCTGACTCACACAACCACTTTGATGAATCTCAGAAGATGCTGTGCCGAGGGACAGAAAAGCTTGCACAAAAGTGAATGTCCTGACTGAGTCCCTGTCTATTTCTAGGGAGTTCTAAGACAGGCTCAGCCATCCATACTGAGCAGGTGAGCTTCTCCCGAGCCCAGGGAGGGACGGACTGCAGAGGGTACCAGGAAGTATGTGGGGGTGGCAGTGTTCTGTGTCTTCCCTGGAGTAGTAGTTACACAGCTGGGTAGCCTGTCAAAGTCATGGAACTGTTTACTTGAAATGAGTGCATTTTATTTTCTAAACCACAGTTGGCCCTTCACAGCCACCGGTTCCGCATCCTTGGATTCAACTGTGGATCGAAAATATTTGGGGGAAAAAAACAATAAATAACAATGCAACAACTAAGAATAATACAAATAAAAAATAACATTTATATAGCATTTGCATTGTGTTAGGTATCATAAGTAATCTAGAGATTTAAAGTATTTGGGAGGATGTGCAGATTATACGCAACTGCTGTGGTATTTTATATAAGAGACTCGAGCATCTGGAGGATTTTGGTATCCCCCCTCTGATACCGAGGGACGACTGCGTAACATCAATAATGTTAATTTAAAAAGTACAAGCAAGGAAACAGAAGACATGAAACACCAGGTGGACTGGTCTGGGCTCTTCATGGCCTCCTTGTGCTGCCCTGTCTGGGCTTGCGTCTCCTTCATGTCTTGAGTCTGCAGCTGCCAGGAGTCTGTGGAGACAGGAGCAAGTTGGCATAAGTGACAGTTTTGTACACACACTTATATATGTGCATGCATGTGTCCATATACACACATGTGTGTGTATGTGTGTGTGCATGCACACGTGTGTGTGAGTGCGCGCGTACGCATGTGTGGTTGTTGCTGGAAGATCTTACAGACTTCTGAACCCTTTGTGGTATATGAGACCTTTAGAGAAGGGCTTGTTTCATCTCTCAGTCCCCTGTGGAAGAGCCTGGAACTCGCCTGCTGCAGCGAATCCGTCTGGCTCCTGTCTGGCTGTGGGTGAGGAATATGGCTGGGGACGCCGCAGAGGCTAGACCTGTACCCTCTGAGAGCTGTCGGGGGACTTGCAGTGTGGTCAGCGGCTGGTTTCCTGTGCGCCTGTTTCCTTTTTCTCACTACTCTTGCCCCTCTGTGTCAGGTTGCAGAACACTAAGCTCACGTCTGACGTGAGGCTTTTCATTCCAGACTTCTCGTAGAGATGGCATGAGTTAGCAGTAACCGTGTGTATGTTTTGTTTTCTTCTCACCCAGGGTTACCTTCCTGCCAATGTAGACCGAAGACCGTCCACTCTCCAGAGAAAACAAAAAGAGTATTTTGCTTTTATTGAGCACTATTATGATTCTAGGAATGATGAAGTTCACCAAGATACATATAGACAGGTGGGAGTGCTTTTTCTTTTTCATACATTACTTGACATACTTTGATTTGGTGATGATTTGTAGGAGGCAATGTTTTGTCTAGCATATCCGTGATTGGGTCACAGACTTTTATTTTCTAATAAATTAATTTGAAAACAAATAATGGCAAATTTCCTCTAATCGTGATACCTGCTTGTCTCCAGTTCCTTCTACAAAAGTAACAAGGTGTTTTTGATTGAAGTTACAAAATATTAAGTAAATACCGCAGATCCCCAGGACCTGCCTCGGGTGGTGATGGGCGTTTTGTATCTCAGTGAACTGCTGTCTGGGAATCAGAAGGCTCTTCCTGCAGGTCTGGGACGAGGCATTTAACTAGATCACATCACAACGGAGAGATTCCACGGGGCCCCACGGTGCTGTGCTCTTTGCTACAGTTAGCGCGTGTAGACAGGCGAAAGGTGTAGTAATCAGCTTGCTTTGGGGGGACACACTTCATAGCAGAGCAAGAGGTGTAGCCAGTTTGTTATTTTGCTATTTAGTTTAATGTAAAATGGGTATAATTATGGTTTCTTAAATAGTCAATTGCCAGATGATGTGCATAATGGGAAAAATACTTAAAATTGATTTATGCTTCACAGTACATCCAGAATTTGCTGTTAGAGCTTTAACAGCTCTTTGAGGACTTTATAATTCTCATTTTTTCTGTAATATGTGAAAGGTCAAGCTGGTAGTTCTTAATTGGCATCATTGTCTTATATATCTGAAATCAAGTTCTAGTTTCTCTGAGGCGTGTCTATTGACTA